CGAGCCAATCTGTGCCAATGAGCATGAAAATTTCCTGGAGGCTTTTGGGGGAAAAAAAGATTTTCTCTCTTTTAGGAGCCTCAGGAAAAGAATGCATCGATTCCTTCCCTGGATGTTGCCTGGGGCCAGTGTTGGGTACAAATGTGGGGTCTGGGCCTGTCCCAGTCGTTGTAAGAGCTGCTGCCAGCCCATGAGCGAGGCCGGCAGACTAGGGGCCCCAGAGCCAGCCACGCAGACCAACCGGAACTCTGCCCCCCGCCCTCTAGGCTCTCTCAGTGATTGAGAGTGTTTTGAGTTGGGTTTTCTGTTTTCTGTTGTTTGCAACCAGTCACATCCTAATGCAGGGAAAGAAGCAAGTGTTCAAAGACGTCCTACACCCAACAGAGACTTCCTCTTCCCTGATGTAATCAGGAGGACTGAAAGAGAACTGGAATGGGACTAAGATTCTCACTGATACACAGCCATTTAATGCCATGTCCATCCATCCAGCAAAGTCATCTTAGTGGCAAACCACCCCTGTTTGGGAAATACTCGTCTTTGGTTGGCAGAGATGATGAACGAAGCTGCCGGAGGCTGTGATGGGCTTATATTCACTTCTCAGCAGCTTCCCTCCGTAACTTTCCTGGCAATAAGTGCACATTGCCAGCTGCACTGGAACTCCCACAGGAAGCTTTGAAAGTGTGGGCTGGGGATGGGGGGAGAATAAGTTATTGAAATAGCGTCTGTGCTCTCTGAGCATATCCTAAGTCACTGGGACTCACAGTGTGGCCCCTGGGTCAGCAGCACCCATGGCAGCACTCAGGAGCTTGTGAACAGAGTAGAGTCTCAGGTCCCCCTCAGAACCACTGAGTCAGAATCCGCATTTTAACAAGAAGCCCCTTTGATTTTTATGCGCATTAAATTCTGAGAAGCACTGTCCTAGGATGCGCTTCACCAGCTTGGTCCTGCTTAGACCGTCAGCAGCTGAGGTGTGCAGAGCCTGGACTCACGGCGATCTGCCTCTGCGGGTGTAAGGCCAGCTCCTCGGTGTAAGGCCACCTCCACATTCCAGCTCGTGACTGTCTCCTTTGTTTCCCCAACAGCTGAGAGGTCGTCTCCACAAAAGGACCAGTTTCTGTCAGTTCCTTGGGGTTTCACTTAATACCAACATATCTCAGTCCACCCGACCTTCTCGCCTTATTGTTGTCGAATCGTAGGCCCTGGGCCAGGTGAACACCTTCAGGGTGTTTTTCCTTTGCTGTTAAATTCCCCATATCCTGTATACTGATTTGCTCATTAGCTCAAACACAGGTTAAACTCCTTCTCTGTGTCATTTGTAAACCACACCTCCCAGATTTTTTATCAAGGTTATGATGATGATTAGCGATTCCCTGAGGCCTTTCCTAATCAGTAAATTCTGAGCTGTCCTGACGGAATATTCCATCAAGAGCTCTCCTGCGTCTACGAAGTTTTAGAAATTAATTTTTTCTTACTGTAACAGTCAACGGTCACGTAAGTTACATCCCAATGGCCAGCTAAAGGTTCAGTGAATGCAGGCAAATAAAAAAAAAGAAAGGAAGGAAACCATAGTCCTTCCTGACCCACAGCTGGGTCCTCTGGGCGTCATCCTGCACTTGCCCTTCAGGAGGGATCTCCATAGTACCTCAGTCTTACCTTCCGCATCTGTAAAATAGGGATGGCGGTTCTGAGGACGCTGCATGAGCTGACAGGGAAAGCACCTGGTGTCGCCCAGGATGCAGTGACGCTCCATAAGGTGAGAGCCCTGGAGTAACAGAAGCAGGGGATTCACGCCATAAAAAGGGAAGATGATGCCAAGTCTGTTTGCTCACCCAGGGGAAATATGTTTGACCACTAATAAGAAAGGGAGAATTGGAGGGAAGTGATTAGGGTTAGATGGGGGATGGTTCGTGGGAGGGGGAGGGATCCTGGGCCCTGGGAAGAAGGGGCTTTGTGTCGGTTGGGCCTCGGATAGAGTCAGGGGTGCATCGGGCGAGGTGGGAGGCAGCACCTGTGAAGATGGAAGGCGGAGGATTAGGCAGGGAGGGCCTCAGACTCTACCACAAATCTGACAAAATTTTTGCCAGCTCAAGGGGCTGTCTGGAGCAAAGATTGCCCCTCAGAGGAGTCCTGTGTTGGGCAGAAATGGCAAGGCCTGAGTATCCCACTGTGCTCAGTTACTGCCTGGGCCCTGCCTAGGAAGAGCATGGCCTCAGCTGAAAAGCTGAGAAAGAGTCTGAAGGGGCAAAAAGCTGGGGCGTCTCAACTAACGGCATTCTTGCATCTGAATGGCAAGTTTCTTTCTCAAAGGGAGATCCAAGCTGCACACTCTGGCTGGACAAGCTGGGATGATGGAAATCCCCAGATCAATTAGAAGGATCCCAGAGTAGAAGACACTAGTGCCGGGCTTCCCAGGAGAGGCCACGCCTATGACGTGGCACTCGAATGCTGGAGAGGCCATGCGGGGCAAGCGTCCAGGCAGACGAACCTGTGGGTAGCTTCACAGCCTCCTGCACACTCTGGCTGGTTCAGGGGCAACAGCTGAGTTGTTCGAGCTCCTGAGATGGGGGCAGCAGTACAGATAAAGAGAGAAGACCAGGAGAGACGTCCTGGTTGGGCTAGGAGAAGGCAGAGTGTATGGACCAATTGCCCAAGGCCATGGGCAGTGGATGCTGCAGGCACAAAGGGATGCCCAAGGGATGCCCAGGAGCTGATGGGACCAGCTACACCTCAGGGGAGGTCAAAAGCCAGCAGATAACCGTGGACCACATTTGCACCTCCCTGGGGCTTCACCTGAACGCAGATGCCGCTCAGTGGGAGCCACAGAGAGGAACAAGAGTCCTAAATAGATGAAGTGGTTACTAAGAAGAAAGGAATCTTAAACCAGGGGCACTAACTTACCTTGAAACAGTGTGATAAAGTTTTCTATGTATGAGGAGAAACAGGAAAGTGGGTGCTAGTTATGTTCAGTTATAGAAAGGAATTTACAAACTGCATTTCTGAGTTACATAGTCTATTAAATTTCATCTCTGCTACACATGAAAATGTTCATATCCTTTAATATAATCATTTCACTTTTGGGAATCTAATCTTAAAAGTAGAAAGAAACTATGCAGAACTTTTTTTATTTTCATATTATTTATAATAATGAAGTGACCTAAATGCCCAACAGTAAGAGAAGAATTAGGTAAATTATAGTACGTCCGATGATGGCAGATTAGACTACTAATTGCAATGATATTCCTTTAGTATGCAATAGCATACAACCATTTTTCTATTAGATTGGTCAATGGAACAAGCAGAAAGAAATATTGTCCAGTGTTTTTCAAACCCTTTGATCACAACCCATAGAAAGAGCTCATTGTGCATCTTGACCCAGGACACTCATACATATTTTTATGACTGACACAAAGGTTGCATGAAACCGCGCTTGCCTTCCCTGGGTGCAAGGCGTTTTGGCATTTCATAGGCTCTTCCATTCCATCTCTTTCAACGCTAGTTAGACCCACTACGTGGGTTTCATCATCGCTGGTGGATCATGACCCTTCACAGACTGAGCACGATCCCAGTGATAGAGAACAACAAATGACAAAAATGTACGTCTAGAAAACGTGCTTAGGGGGATGCGCCAAAATATCAACAGGGTTGCAGCTCCAGGGGAGTCATTTATAGCTTCCAATTTGTCTCTAATCAACATACACTACTTTTCATAATGGAAATAGTACTACCATACTAATTTTTAAGTTGTTCCCGAGGTTTCTTTTCTCCGGGGTAAGTAATCCCAGTTCCTGCTCTCTGTGAGTTCACCTTATACCTCCAGAGAAACTCCTGAGACCAGAGGCGGGGATGGCAGCTGGAGCTGCAGGCAGCCTCTGAGCCGAGCCCCACACTGCACAGCTCGGCGGCTTCGGCACCTCGTGACTCACGGCCCCCACGTGGCCACTGCTGAAATCCGTACATTTTAACAAGGAGATTGATGTCACAGTTCTCTCCATCTTTGACCTCTCCCTTCCTTCCTTCCTCCCTCCCTCTCCAACACAAACGATTTTACTGAGTACCTGTTATATTCTAAAAGCTAGATTAAAAAAAAGATCTCTTTATGTTTTCCAATTTTTCTATAATGAGCATATATTTCCTTCATAATCAGAAAAAAATACGTATCGTTTTAAAAGGTCTTAAGATGTAGGTCTTGCTTCAAGATGCCCACAGCCTGGAAAAGAAGCAGTCACGTAAACCAATGCGTCTGTGTGGGACGCAGCTCAGCCCCTCACCCACCTCCCGCCCCAGCCAGAAAGCTGCTCCTCCCAGCAGCTTTTAAGTGACAGAGGCCAAGGTTTTTGTCTCTCTCGTTCCAAGGACACTACGGAATTTGTCTGGCTCCCATCTCTGCCCCCAGCCCTTATACCTCCATTTCCATTTGCTAATTGAGAGAAAGAACGGAGAGAAGAAAAAGTGAGAGAGAAAGGGAAGGGGAGGGAATGGGGGAAGGACAGAAAGACATGGAACGGCATTGGTCCAGGGTGGCCCAGAGAGGTGCGGATCTAAGGTGGGTCAGATCCATGCCTTGGCCATGAACATTTGACTGAGGATGGCGTTGAGGACGTCCCGTGGTCTCAGAACTGTTCTGTGCTGGAACAGTCTAACACAAGCCTGGGTGCTCCATCAGAGTTGGTCTCCCTGGTCTCCTAAACGTGTCGTGGATGGCCTGGCCTGTGACCTCCAGGGCAATGAGACAGCAGGCTCCAAAACTGTCTGGCGTCAATGGCTGCAGCCAGATCTTTCTGATTATTTTCAGGTTTTCTCAGTTAATGAGTAATGTTGTGATAGTAGCTTCTATTCAGGACATTAACTTCTGATTCTGGTATTTCCCCAAAGAGGTTCAAATAAGTTGGCAGACAGCAAGGTTGGTAAGTCACTAGAGAAAGCTGCACAGTGCTCCCAAGTCTGTGCTTCCGTGGCCGCTGCTCCTGGAGAACAACTGATTTATCACCATCTTGTTGCAGGAAGCATCTATTTCTCTTCTACTCACGGTGGCCTGCCAGCATGTAATATAATGCCGGGGCAAATACAGTCAGCCAGAGGTATTTAACTCAGCAGTTCCTTGACCTCTTGAACTCTTGTCTTCTGCTACAATCAGAAAAATTTCCCCTCAGCATGTTCTTTTAATAATCCCTTGGACACAGTTGTGCAGGGTTCTGACACGCCTAACCACCCCCGACCCCGAGGCCATGCTCAGCCCCGCCTGCTCCAGCCTCTGCTCTGTGGGACCGTGTGCGTCCTCTGACTCTTGCGGGGCAGCTGGCTGGAGAGGTGCCAACCAGTTGGGGGGCCTATTCAGGGTTCCGGAAAACATTCCTCTCCGCTGCCTCTTTTGTTTGCACCTCATGATAAGTGCTCCTTCGGCAGTTTTATAAACAGACTGCTAAAATGTCACCTTTCAGAAGTGTGAGCGGCTTGTTGGCCAGGACTACTGGAGTCAGGAGACCCGGTGCAGTGGCTTCCTTGGTCTGAGCTGGTGATTGGACAACAAGCAGGTCGTTTGTTGGCCGAGTTGGCCCAGCTTGGAAAATTTCAAGGTGCCATCCTTCATGCAGACCAAAAACACCTGACATTGCTGCTCCTCTGAAAGTCAAGCACGGGGTTCTGCGTGCGTTTCAGTCTTTGTGAATGCCTCTTGGTCCTGTGTGGGGATGGCATGGAAGACAGCACGGCACAGAATGCAAAGATGGTCTGAGGGCTTAGAAGGAGAGGAGCCAGCTGGTCCAGAGTGGGAGCAGCCCCAGCCTCCTGCCTCAGCCGTGGTCCTCTCGGGAGCAACAGCTCTAGCTCACGGAAGGAAGCAGGCACAGATAAAATCGGGCATTCACCAACCAAAGCAACCAGTCTGCAGAGTGAGAATGAATTAGGTCATCTTGATCATGCATTGGGGACCCCAAGAAGCCTGCTGTATTGTGAAGTGAAGGAACACATTACCTGTGCTCGTGCTTGTTCAATTAACGCTGAGCTTTGCCGTAACTGGGCTCAGGCCCGTCCACCCCAGAGAGCGGTTGGAGTCTGTTCTGCTTTGCTCATCATCACACCACTGATGGAATTCCATCTGAATTCCAGGGGTTCCCAAGAGGCACGTAAAATACATCTTAGTTGCTACATGGGACATGGAAATCAGGAAAACAAAAGTCTCAATGTGTAAAGTGACGAAAAACACTAGATGTCTCGGGAAAGGAAAATACCCAGGACCTCACAGCTAACGGGCGCTGGGCCCTTGGGCAGAAAGCCTGTTTCCACTCCATGGCCCCCAAGGCCTACGTCCAGCAGGCCCAGAGTTTTCTCAGCTCAATAGTGTAATTTTTGTTGGCAAACAAACCAACCAACAAATCTGTTTTGCACTTCAGTGGTTCAGATAAACCAACGTTTGACCTGAAGCTTATAGAGAATAGTCACAACCCAGTGCTTCCCTTTGGTAATGAATGATCTAGGAGCTGTGCTGTCCAGCACTGGAGCCACTGGCCACACTGAGCACTTGAAATGTGGCTAGTCCAAGTTGACTGCAATGTGCTGGAAGACTACAACACACCCCGTGTTTCAAAGACTGAGCACATACACAAAGAAATGTCAAATATCTCAATGATTTTCTTTTTTCTTTTGAGGGAGATTGGCCCTGAGCTAACATCTGTTGCCAATCTTCCTCTTTTTGCTTGAGGAAGATTGTCACTGAGCTAACATCTGTGCCAATCTTCCTCTATTTTATGTGAGACACTGCCACAGCATGGCTTGATGAGAGGCGCTAGGTCCATGCCCGGGATCTGAACCTGCAAACCCTGGGCTGCCAAAGTGGAATGCACAGACTTAACCACGACACCACCAGATCAGCCCCCTCAATGATTTTTTTATATTGATTACATGTTGAAATGATAATGTTTTGGATAATGAATAAAATAAAGTATAGATAGTGAATTAAATAAAGTATATTATTGGGACTAGTTTCACCTGCTTCCTTTTATCCTTTCTAATGAGGCTATTGGAAAACTGAAAATTACATGTGTGTATTTACAACAGACAGCACTGTGTTAGGGGTTTCGTTTCAGGGGTGAAAAGAGTCTTCAGCTGTCTGTCCCACACCCCTTAAACATCTTATTTTGGTTTAATTCCGAAGTCCTTTAGTGAGACACCAAGGTTTTTTTGTTGCCATAATTAGGGACAACTTTCAAAATCTAATAACCTTTTAAATGGGCAATGGTTACACAGTAGCTTTGCACCAGGGAAGCCAGGTGAGAAGCATTAGTCAAAGGGACAGTGTCACAAAGGGGTTTGCCTTTCAAACATTACACTTTCTTCACCCACTTCTTCCACCTCCCATCACGCCAGCAATGCACAAACGGAGGGTTGTCTGAGCACTGCTCCTCAGGCCTGACACAAATAAATCATTGTCTAAGAGTTAGATTACCCAAATTTTACATACCACTGAGGCTGGATTCCCATCAGACATAAAATACTGTGGGCACAAGGGACATGGGAATTGGTCAAGATATGCTAAACCTGGAGGCCATGGAAAGACCTGAGACGCATCACACGAGTGTGAGCCGCTCACAGCATCTCTCCGAGAGAGCGTCAGCTCCAGAGAAAGGTCAGATCCCAAAGTCCCGCCCAGAAGAATTCATTTCAATCATCTCTACATATTAGACATAATTATGATTAATATTAGGTTTCTCTGCCACTGACTTTCTGCAGCTTTAGTTTGCTGACATTCCTCAACGTTAGCATCATTCCTTACACTCAGCCACACTAAAGTGCGAATGACTGATATTGGTTCCTTTCTTGAGATCAAGTTTCTTCCCTCTTATTTCACTACTGTTTGACTAATATATGTAATCAAAACGTCATAGAAATATTAACGTTTAAAAATAATAGCACCACTACCCTAAGACAGCTTTTAATTTCTTTTCCTTTGGGACAGGTGCATTAATAAGTTACCGAGTTACAGTCAGAGATGATGAACAACTCTTTGCTCCACCATTAGGGCCCCTCATTTTCTTGCTTTCTGAGGTCAAGTTTTAATGAAAAGAAGTAGAAAATTAGGTTGAGGGAAGACTGCATGACAAGGAGGATAAGGACAGTGGTTTGTGTGCCTCAAGCACAGGGTGGAAGACCATGGAAGAACGTGGTTTAGGAAGATCCCAGCACTGTGTGCCTTCACTTGACCAACATGTATTTTGTATATGACCACTAGTTGCTAAAGATACAATGATGGACAGGATACACATTCAAGGAGAGTTGGTAAGAGTGTTGTCTGCTGTCATAGTCTTGCTCCCTCACCTCACATTCTCTCCTCAGGTCCTCCTCTCAAGCTTCTCTGGCCACCATCACTCCACTGAGGCTGCTCTGGTCAAGGTCACCAATTGCATCCATGTTGGCACATGCACTGGCCCCTCTCTGTTCATATCCTGCATTACCTCTCACACACACAGTTGAATCCTCCTTGAAACACTGTTCTTTCGAGGTTGCTGTGACACCGTGCTCACCTGATGTTCCGTCTTTCTCACTAACAGCTTCTTCTCCGTCTCTGCTGGTTTCTCCCTCTCTGCTTGACATTTAAGTGTTGGTCCTGCACACTCTTCCCCCCACTATCGATGCATGCTGTCTGGGTATCACGTTTGATCCCGTGACCCTAAATAGAATCCACGTGCATTCCTCCTAGAACTCCAAATGCATGTATCCAGCTGTCTACTCAACATCTCCAATTAAAATGTCTAATAGCCCTCTCAAAATTAACAAGAAAAATAGCAAAAAAATTTAGGAATTCTCCCCAAAGCTCCTTTACGCCTAGCTTTCTCCATTTTAGTGTAAGTCACATGACTCTACCTAGTTTGAACATAGTTGCTAAAGTCAAAAGTGAAGAGGTGAGGACTTCTGGCTTCAAGATTACCAAGTAAAGTAAAGCCCTTTCTGCCCCTTTCTTCTCTCACAAATCATCCCCAAAATTACTAGGAGGGAACAACCACAAAAAAGGAATACAAAGCTCCCCCTCCAATGATAAGAGAAGCGCTTGGTGATCTGAACCATCAACTATAAAGATGGAAAGCAGACTACAGGTAACAGCAGTGTATTGTATATTTGAAAGTAGAGAAGAGAGTAGATCGTAAAAGTTCTCATCACAAGAAAAAAAACTGTAACTATGTGAGGTGATTGATGTAACTAAACTTGTGTAACCATTTCACAATATATACACATATCAAATCACTACGTTGTACATCTTGGACTAATACAATGTTACATGTCAATTGTATGTGAATAAAACTGGAAAATAAGGTGGAAAGCAGATGCAGAGATGGGAAGAGGCTTAGCAGACTGGATGAAAGTCAGAACTCGGCAGCCCACTGTAGAGAGACAGACCAAGGAAAGGGAGACTGACTCACCCATAGGACCCGGAAGAACCTCCAGAAATGGAGGCACAAGTTGTCACCAGAGGCAGGCGTGGGCACAGGGTTGCAAACAGAGTGGCTGTCTGCAGGTCCTTGTAAGTAGTAGTTGGACATCCCCCCAGTAGTCTTCTCCCCACTAGACTACCACTCAGTCAACCCAGGGAGACAGGAGATAGAGTCCACGAAGAAACTGAACTAGAGGGGTACTGCATTCAGGAACCAAAACACAGAATTGGGGAAAATGAGAGATTAAATGAAAGTCCGCCAACTGAAAAGTGAGGCCTCAGAAATTCCCAGCCCCCTGTTCCAGGAAGTCAAGGGAAGCTTATAAATATCCCCAGGCAGGAGATCAGAGGATCTTCTCTGGAGAAACTGAACCACCACAGAATAAAGATGCACAGAAACTGACATTCGAGGGTTCCCATGAAAAAGCCAGATGGCTGTGGATTGACCTACAGTAAAGCCCACCGGCAGGCTCCGTGCAAACACAGCGCCCCCGAAGCTGAATTACGCTATCCAGGGATGACCGGCCTTTTAAGAGAAGCCTCTGGTGTGATGGGGAGAGATCAAAATCAAACAGCCAAAGCTTAGAGGAAAGAGACGATACAGAAAACAAAATGAAATTTTAAATCCAGAAAAAAAGAACAGAAAAAAAATACTGGAAAGGAAATTATATATAAAAATTAATAGTAATATGAGAAAAATTTCAAAACTGAAGAACGTGAGTTTTCAGACTGAAAGCGTCTAAGGAATGAACAAAGACAAGGTATGTATCAAGGCCCATCACAAAATTTAGGCTCTCCAACGCTAAAGAGAGGAGTTCAAAATCTTCCAGAGAGAAATCATGTCACATACAAGAATTGGAAATCAGAATGGCATCAGACTTCTCAACCACTAGATTTAAAAATAAAAGAAAATAAAATAAGTTTGAAATTTTGACAGAAAATTATTTTTAACCTGGAATTCTATACTCAGCCAAAGTAGTAGCTATTATTAATGAGTAGTATCATATTAATGAGGAGAAAGTAAAGACATTTCAGACATGTTAATTCTCAGAAATTTACTCTGCTGCTTCTCAGAAGCTACTGGAGAAAATGCTTTGTTACAATGAGAGAGTAGGGGCCAGCCCAGTGGTGTAGTGGTCAAGTTCACGTGCTCCACTTCGGGGTTTGTGGATTCAGATCCTGGGCATGGACCCATGCACCACTCATTAAGCCATTCTGTGGCAGCATCCCACATACAAAATAGAGGAAGATTGGCACAGATGTTAGCTCAGGGACAATCTTCCTCATGGAAAAAAAAAATTAAAAGCACTGTCAATGATGCTTTAAAAAATAAATTAATTAATTAAATAAAATGAGAGAGTAAACTAAGAAAAGAAGAAGAAATGGGATCCAGTAAACAAGGGATCCTGCAGAGAAGAGAGGCTTCTAGAAGAAATATCCCTGGGGGAAAAATGAATTGGATGGACTATGTAATAGGTTTTACTAAGTGGAAAATTGTACTGAGAAGTGTTTCATAGAGCTATTTGAAGTATGGAAAGACCTAGCCAGTAACAAATGAGAAAAAAAAAGGCAATTAATAACTCCAGATAAAGGAAATTTATAAAAGAAAGTTGTATATGTGTACTATAATTGGGGTTTACCTATATCAAGTAGATAGGGCAAAAAGAGTGAGGGGCCTAAGAGAGACAGAATCCCATTTATTATAACAGACAGTGTCTAAAATCATTATCCTTGATTCTGGGGAAGGAAGTGAAGGAGGAAGCATGAGTAGTTAGGCAGAAAGGGATGTCACTTGCTAAGACAGAGAACAATGGAAAATAAGCAAACACGGGGCATGGGGAAGCACTAGCTTGCTTAACTGTGGACACGTTGCATTTGAGGTGCTATGGGACATGCGGTTGGAGATGTCAAGCAGACAGCGATATACTAGATATGGGTCTGGAGCTCAGAAGAGGGGACTAGGCTGAGGACATCTAACTGGGGGCACATGTAGATAGTAAATGCCACTGCTGAAGTTACCTGCAGAGGGAAAGTAACGGGAGAAGAGATGGGGCCTAGGAACAATTCCTGAGGAATGACAGGACACTGCAGTGAGAGAAGGGGAAAGCACCCGGTGAAGGAGAGGTTGGAGAGGTGAACAGAGGAATTGGAGAGCGTGGCCTCAGGGCAACAGAAGCGTTCCTGATGCACGTGCCACTCTCTGATGTGAGGGCAGATCCCAATCGCATGCTCTTCTCCACGTCGTACTTTCCTTCATGTACGACAATGAGA